GCAGAAGAGCTAAAAAGAAACTTCTCTGAAGAGGAAATGCAAATGGCCAACAGGCATATGAAAAAATGTTCAACATCACTTGTCATCAGGGAAATGCAAATCAAAACTACCATGAGATACCATCTTACACCAGTGAGAATGGCACATATTAAAAAAACTAGCAACAACAAATGTTGGCGAGGGTGTGGAGAAAAAGGAACTCTCCTGCACTGTTGGTGGGAGTGCAAACTGGTCCAAGCACTATGGAGAGCTGTGTGGAGATTTCTGGACCTACTAAACATAGAGCTTCCATATGATCCAGCAATTCCACTCCTAGGTATTTACCCAAAGGACACAGAAACATCAATTCCAAAGAGCACCTGCACCCCCTATGTTTATAGCAGCACTGTTTACAATAGCTAAGCTTTGGAAACAACCCAAATGCCCAAAAATAGATGACTGGATCAAGAAGATGTGGTACATATATACCATGGAATATTACTCAGCATTCAAAAAAGATAAACACATGCAATTTGCAGCAACATGGATGGCGCTGGAAGGGATCATGCTCAGCAAAATAAGCCAAAAAGAAAAAGGAAAATATCGGATGGTCTCACTCATAGCGGGAATCTGGAGGACTTGAATGAGGGACCAGGAAAATGAATAGCTGTGGGAGAGTGAAAATCGGAATCAACAAAAAACTGTGAAACGGGGACGCTTTTTGGGGGGTGGGGGGCGGGAGGGGAGGGATTGGGGTCGGAATGGGGGGGTTGCAATTGTATGGGGAATGTAAAAATAAAATTTATTATTTAAAAAAAAATAAATTACTCAGATTGTCATAAAAAAAAAAAAAAAGAGTTCACCAAAGAAGACAGACAGGTCAACAACAGGCAATGCAAATCAAAGAAAAATTATATATCACCTTAACCTGTTAGAACTATTATCACACAAACAAGAAGCAACAGATGTTGTCTAGAAAAAAATACACTGTTGATGGAAATAGTGCTGTTACTATGGAGAACAATATAGAGATTTATCAAAACATTGAAAGTAGAACTACATGATATAGCAATTACATTTCAGGGTATCTATCCAAGAATACAAAAACCAAATTTGAAAATATATTTTCACCCCTAAGTTCATTGTGTACCAATCACATGCTATGGAAACAACTTAAATGCCCAAGGACAGATGAGGACATAAAGAAGATGTGGTGTATATACACAATGGAATACTATTCAGCTATTTTTAAAAAAAGGTGGAATATTGCCATTTGCAACATGAGTGGATCTTGAGGATTTACTCTGTAAAGTAAGTCAGAAGGAGAACGACAAATACTGTATTATTCCACCCGTATACGGAAGCTAAAGAAACAAAGCAAGTAAATAATACAAATAAAAATAAACCTTTAGATTCTGAAAATACAATGGTGGTTAAAGGGGAAGAAGAGTGGAGGTTGGGTTGAACAGCTGGCGGGATTGACTGGATGGTGGTGGATGGAAACTAGACCTTTGGTTGTGGGCCTGCTGTGGTATATGAAGATGTCAAGGTGTAAAGTTGCATAGCCGGAACTGGTGTAAACCAAAGTAACCTCAATAAGAAAATTTTGAAATAAAAATATAAAGTCTTTCTAAGCAAAAAAAAAAAAGGTACTAATAGGGAAATCACTATTATGTAGTATCTACTGATTTTCTTTTTTTTCTTTTTTATTATAAAGGTTTTTTTTTTTTTAAGATTTATTTATTTATACAAGCTCTGGGTATAGTCAGAAGCGTGGGAGGGTGAGAGAATTCACCAGAGCCAGAGCGGGGAGCAGAGCAGGCAGAAGGACCGAGGTACACTGCTGAGGGGAGCAGCGGGCCTGGCAGGAGAGGTCTGTGCACCATGTGGGACCCTCACCCTGTGGCCGGGGATCGAACCGGTGCTGCAGAGGCTGCAGGCAGCTTCGCAACCCAGCGCTCAACCGCTGCGCCACCGGGGAGGCCCTCTGTTTTTTGTTTTTGTTTTTTTTTTTTTGTGGGACCCTCGCCAGCGGCTGGGGATTGAACCAGTGCTGCAGAGGCAGCGGGCAGCCTCACAGCCCAGGGCTCTACCGCTGTGCCACCAGGGAAGGCCCTCTACTGATTTTCTTTTAAGAAGAGATTCTCTCTCAGTGACATTCTTCAGAGCAATAGAACAAATATTGATGAAATTCCTATGGAGCCACAAAAAGCTTCAAATAGCCAAATATCTCCTGACTAAAAAGAAGGAGAATGGAGCTATCACACTCCCAGACTTCCAATTATACTACAAAGTCATACTGATTAAAATAGCATGGTACTGAAACATAAACAGGCACAGATACCAGAGAAATCGAATAGAAAGCCCAGAAATAAAGCCACACATATGTGGACACTAATCTTTGATAAAGGAACAAAGAATATGCAGTGGAAAAGGACAGTTTGTTCCATAAATGGTGCTGGGAAAACTGGACCACCACATGCAAAAGAATGAAACTAGACTACTACCTCACAGCATGCACAAAAGTCAACTCAAAATGGATAAAAATATTGAACATAAAATATATAGAAACCATAAATATATAGAAACCTTAAAATATATAGGAGAAAATATAGATAATAAAAAAGAAAATATAGGTAAAACACTTCATGACATACATCTAAGTAAAATCTTTAAAGACTTATCACCCAAAGCAAAGAAAGTGAAGGGAAAGATAAATAGCTGGGATTACATCAAGCTAAAACGCTTCGGTACAGCCAAAGAGATATTAGCCAAAACAAAGAGACGCTCTACTGATTGGGAGAAAAATTTTTTTTTATTAATAAATTTTGTTTTTATATTCCCCATACAATTGCAACCCCCTTATTTTGGCCCCGTCCCTCCCCTCCCCGCCCCCCACCCTCCATGGAGTGTCTCTGGTTTGTGGTTGTTTGTTGATTTTGATATTTTCTTTCTTATGGTTGTTCTTTTTCCTGGTCCCTTATTTAAGTTTTCTAGATTCCTGCTATGAGTGAGAAAAAAAAAAAAGAGAGAGAGAAAATGTCATCTATAGCAATTAAAACTTTATCCTTATACCACCATCAAAGAAAGCTTGAGCTGAATTGCATTGGTGATGAATCCTCTCAAATTGTCAACAAAGAAAAATACCCTACTTTGTATAGTCTTACAGAAAGATAGCATGAAGAAAGGCTTTCATTTCATAGCCCAAACTTCATAAGGAAAAGAAAAGGAAAGAAGATGACAATACCTCTCATGAACACAGAATGAGCGTTCTAATATGGTGTTTAGAGATGGAGCTTGGGTGTCTCCAATGTGTTCTAACAGGGACCAATAAGATGATCAGGATGAAAAATCAACAATTCTTGGAGCCCTAAGATACAGGAAGATATACGGAAACACGCTGCTCCCCAGGTTGGAGAGAAAGGCAAACACAGGGAGCCATGGCTACTGGAGCAGAGACCTAGAGCAGAAAATGCTGCAGGAACCTTCCCCAGGGTAGGAAAAACAACTACAGCTGGCAAGCTGCTGCAATGTGTCATACAGATTCTCAGACAATACTGAGAGTGAAAAACTCCAAGGGTTCCCACAGCACTGAGAGAATTACCTTCAGGAGTGACGAGGTTAAATAAAGCAATAAAATTAAAATTGGGTCCTGTACTGGCATTCCTGTTAGCCCCCAACACCAACAATGTTTCTGTGCTGTAGAAGTCACCAGCAGCGCCATCAACACTAGATTTTTCACAGTAAATATTGGAGACAAATCCCCTCCTGCTTCTGACTTGTGTGTGGGGAATGAGAATTCTCTTTGAAATAGGCAAAGAACTTTCTTTCTTCTTAATAAGGCCTCAGCCTCAGGAGAAACCAGTTAACCAGAGCCCAATCTGCTGGCACACTAACAGGACCTCAGGTAAGGGAAATAACACAGGCCAGGCAAAATACCAATGACCCAGGGTTTTCTTCTGTCCTTTTTTTATCATCACAAAATTTTGGAAATGTACTGTTGATTAATGAATGTTAATATGGGACCTTGAAACCCTACAAGACAAGACCAAGATTTTATCCATGATCCCATATTTACCAGGTGGTCAATTTGTTGATGTTCACGTTCCTGTGAAATGGAATTTTGATCTTGCTGTTATACTGCAATGATTATTTTTGTGATGACTGCTCAAGGTTGCTGATAAAATAAGCAACTGGGACCTCCTCTGGTGGTGCAGTGGTTGAGAGCTGGGCTGCGAAGCTGCCCGCAGCCTCTGCAGCACTGGTTCGATTCCCCGGCCTCCGGCGAGGGTCCCCCATGGCGCCCAGACCTCTCCATCGCGCCCTCTGCTCCCCTCAGCAATGTACTTCGTCAGTCTGCCTGTTCTGTTTCCCGCTCTGGTTCTGGTGAATCCTCTTACCCTCCCATGCTTCTGACTGTACCCAGGGCTTGTATAAATAAATAAATCTTTAAAAAAAAGAGAGAAATTTTAAAATAATAAATAAATAAAATAAGCAACTGACAAAATGTAGGAGCGAACAACTGGGAAAAGCTCCCCAAAACTGTTAAAGCAAATGAATGTAAGGGTAACAGAATATGCTGTAGGGTCATCTATAAATTATTAGATCCACATCTAAAGTATGTGACAGGGGCTTCCCTGGTGGCGCAGGTGGTTGAGCGCTGCACTGTGAAGCTGTCCACAGCCTCTGCAGCGTGGGCTCGACCCGGGCCGGCCTTGGAGCAACCCAAATGGTGAGCAGACCTCTCCTGTCTTGCCCGCTGCTTCCCTCAGCAGTGTATTTCGTCAGTCTGCCTGCTCTGTTCTCCGCTGTTTCTGGTGAATCCTCTCACCCTCCCCTGCATCTGGCCTGTACCCCGGTTCTTGTGTAAATAAAATAAATCTTAAAAAAAAAAAGTGAGTGACAGGCCTTGTTGTCAGTGACTTGTGAATCGAAGAGTTCCTACAATATCTACAGGAATATCAAGAATTAGACCAGGCAAGAATTAGTAAATGATTTTCAACACACATCTTTTTAGATTTCCAAGTCATTTTATTTCAAGATGACAAGAATAGTTATAGGCATATGAAATTATCAGAATTATTACTGACCATTTCCCCCCATAAGTCACAATGCTACCCTTCTCTTTCTTAGGGGTTTTGAATATTGTCTACTTTTTTTTTGTTTTGTGGGGTTTGAGGCGGCAAGTCTTTCTGTGCATGAACAGCTTGTTTTTCAAGGTACTCATCAATGGTTCTTTTTAATTGTGAAAAGGCTGCAATGATGAGTGAGATCAGTAAAAGGACTACTCGAAAAATGATTAGAAATAGTGCCTTGTTCATGTTAGTTAATATTCTGGCACGAAGATATTTTTCTTTGACGGGCAGAGGGCCACTATCTACACTACCACCTATTCCAGTCTCATTACATGCTGGTGGCTTCCAGCCTCTCATGCAGTGGCAATTTTTCTTGTTGTTACACACTCCTCTAAAACTGCATTTGCTGATATCACAGTCAAAATGCATATCTTGATAAAAAGTACAATTCTGTTTCACACAGTACTTTCCTGGCCCACATGTCGCACCATCCACTACCAGCCCCATCTCTGGCACTTCTGTCCCCCAGTGGGCATCATATCCAAAGCATGATACGTCCTTAAGACCTGGTATTTTTATATCGCGAAATGTAGTGTGCTCACCTCCACCGGGAATTGTTAGAACATCGCGGCAGTGAAGCATTCCGCAGAGCACATCGTCTTCTTCACATTTATAAGGACGGCCTCCTCCTCTTCCAATTCTTATCCCACAGTTTCCAAAGCGGTCGCCAATCACATTCAATTTTTCATAGCATGCTGGTGCAGCGTCTCTTACCTGGTATCCAAAAAGGGCTTGACACTGCATTTCACGGTCACTACAGTTTCCTTGCACACAAACGGCCAACGGGGAACAGGGGGTTCCATCCTGGATGTAAAAGTCATTTGGACAATCGTGGGTTTTGCCGTCACAGTATTCCGGTAGATCACAAATCCCAAGTTTATCTCTGCAGGTCAGTCCAGGGGGAGCATATTGACAGCGAACACAGCAATCCCCTCTACTGCAAAGACTGCCCAGGGTGAGGGAGCAATCGGTTGTACAACAGAGGTTTTGAAGGCAATCTTTAAAGGTGCCACAGTCACATTCTTCTCCTGAATTTATAACTGCGTCACCACAACGGGGATACACATAAGGAAAATTTTTATAGGGAGTATTCCTGTAACTCAAACAAGTATCATAGAAATAAATCTTGTCATATATTTTTGCATAAGAACAATTGCTCATCATATCGAGAATATTAGGGATTGGCGCCATGAGACAGGCAGATCTTCGAAAACATTTACACCCAGGTCCATCATGGGGGAGGCCCACACTATGACCTATTACATGTGCAGCAACACCCGAACTTACAAAGAGCTGATAATCTTTCACATTCAGATATTCTGCTGCCCAGTTGGGGTTGCATAATTTATCAGGCAAGGCAAAATAGTAGGAACTTCCGAGTTGATGTCCTGTCAGAAGCAGTGAGGTATCATGTGAAAAATACGCATATACCGTCTTTGATTTCCACAAGCCAAAATCCTGTACCGTTTGACCCGCAGACTTGTGCTTAATGTTTAAATTCATAGGATCGTTAGCATTCCATATGCAAAGGATTCGTATGTATATGCCTAACCTGCTTATTTTGTAAATGGAATGCATTATGCTGTTCATCACCACCACATACTGTATAATTTGTGTTGTATTAGGCATTATCCTATAGAAGGAGTTAGAAACTGTGTAGTGTATTTTTAAGTATTTCTTATGTGGCCACCAAAAGTAAACGGGGCCCGCTCTAGGAGTTTCAGTAAAAGTTGCCTCTTCATACACGGGATTTGTACCTTCCTCGCCAATCTTACACTTCTCCACCGCGGCAGTTTCTTCGGTCACTAGAAGAGAAATCACGTGCTCAAATTTGGAAGACGCCTCCAATGGTCTGATTTCATAGGTGAAGTCGTCCACCTGCAACATGCCACGCAGGCCCCCATAGCAGGTGTCCAGCGTGCCCATGGACCCAGGGACCTCTTCCAGGTAGCTATAGTAGTAGCAGTCTCGAGGGATGAAGGGGTAGTCCTCCTGCGAGGCGCCTTGATCGTTACTGGTGATAACAGGAAAATGTCTGGGCAGCAGGTTCTTCTTGACTTTCATGTGAACCACGTGTCTTTGGCCCCTGAAGTGAAACTTGTAGGCCAGCTGGCCCGGTGTCCCGGCTCCACGCAACCTGTGGGTCACCTTCCTGGGGATCACAACTTCAGAGGACGTGAAGCGCCATCCTGGTGGGGCGTGGGAGCTACAGACCTGGGGCAGGAGTAGACACAGCAGAAGCAGCCAGAGATCACCAGTCAGGTGGGCCTGGGCCCAGGCAGGCCCCATGGGTGAGGGCACCTGCCAGCTAAGCAGCTGCAGTCAAGTGGAAGGCAGGCCAGACTGTCCCTGACACAGCTAGTCTCCCAGCAGTGTAGTCATGATAGGCAGGGGCAGGCTGGGCTCTTGGTGGCACCCCCGCAGAGGGGGAGGGGGTTGAAGCTATTACATAACAATGGCCTGCTCATTAGGGGAGGCTGTGGTCAGTGCTCTGGGGATCCCAGCACAGGAGAGCTTGGGAAGAGGAGGAAATGGGAGGAATTTGAAAAGTTGTCATAAACCTGGGCTGAAAGGTCCCTTGGTCTCTTGGAGGAGTCATAGGAAAAGTCACAACAATAAGTAGTTTTGTGTCAATTTTATGGAAGGTAGAACCAGGATTAGAACTGATTGTAATGGTAAGAGTCAGAAAATGGACAAACTAAAGCATTTGATGTATATTTAGATTGAATGGAAGACAGCACAGATGAAAAGGATTCACCAGTTACCCAATTCCTTTTTATGTAACTGGATCAGGTTGACGGAAATCTGTGAGATTGGAGTCGTACATAAGAGATAATGTTTGAGAGGTAGTTAAGTTGTGTTCAAGCTTTCAGATCCCAGAAAAACAAGTCATGAAGGCCACCAGACAAGATGTTGCATAAATTCAGAGAACATCTGAAGGATCTGAAAAGGGCACTTTCTTCTGTATAGAAAGAACATTTAGGGGTGTGATGTGCAGGATATTGACCACAAGTAATGACCTTGTATAAGTGAAACTTGTTAAGACAGTAACCAGAACTTTCTCACCACAAGAAAAATCATTCTGTAATATGGTGACATATGTTAACTAGACTTGTAGTTAACATTGTTCAACACTTGTAGTGTTGAACATTTTGTAACATTACTAATACGATATCATTATATTGTACACTTGAAACTATTGTAATAGTACATGACAATTACCTCAATTAGAAAAAATCAGTAAGACATGGCAGTTAAAATTTGGGTAGTCCCAATAACATGATTTCAACTGATATAGAGCAAGAGAGGAAAGGGAAAAAGCAGAAATAGAAAGAGGGCCTTGCTTGCTGGGCTGTTAGAAGTTAGCAACTGTGCGATCCCCTTCTGGAACTGAGTAGAAGAGTGGGAGGGCTCTGCCATCAAGGTGAACTGTGGATGTGAGGAATGTGTGGGCCTGTTGCTGGGCTGTTGGAAGCTAGCAACTGTGCGACCCTCTTCTGGAACTGAATAGAAGAGAGGGAGGGTTCCACAAAGAAAGGTGAACAGGAAAGTGTGGGCTTACCCAAGCTGCCAGAGGCGCCCTTTCAGAACTGAGTAGGAGAGAGGGAGGACACTGTTGTCAAGGAGAACTATGGGTTCCAGGAAAGTGTGGGTCTGCCAGATGGGCTGCTGGAAGCCAGCAGCCCTATGATTCCCTTCTGGAACTGAGTAAATATTGAGGAGAGGGCTCAGCAAACAAAGGATAAGATGGGGATGCAGGGGAAGAAACCAGCAGCAAACAGAGACTTGGTGATCTCAGGGACAGCGCCCATCAACCCATGCACAGCATCACTATCCTTGTGGAGTCTGGCATAACAGTGCCTGACTCAGTCTGGCCACCAGTTTCTGACATCCCAGAAGGAGCACCCCAAAGAGATGCCGGCCATTACCAGTGGCACAGTGGCCCAACGCACAGAAAAAATCAGAAAACAAACAACAGGGAGAAGGAAAAATACAAATAACCACGCAAGCCCTCTGGGGAAGGGCACACCACAAAAAGAAAATCAGCCCACAGAACTCAACAACAATGACACGGAGAACTTTTCTGCCTGTCAGATAGACAAATTGGAATTGCCATTATTAAAAAACATAAAGAAGATAAAAAAGAAAAGACTTATATGAGAAATATAATTAATGAATTGAAGAATGAAACTGAGTCTTTAAAGAAGGAAATGAAAGAAACACAGGGTATTAAAAGCTCCGTTCCATAGTGGCTGCACCAAATTTGCACTCCCACCAGCAATGTAGGAGAGTTCCTTTTTCACTACATCCTTCCAACAACATTTGTTGTTGCTGTTTGTTTGTTTGATATGTGCCATTCTTACTGGTGTGAGGTGGTATCTCATTGTGATTTTGATTTGCATGTCCCTGATGATAAGGGATGTTGAACATTTTTTCATATGCCTGTTGGCCATTTGCATTTCCTCTTTGGAGAGGTGTCTTTCAAGTTCTTCTGCCCATTTTTTTTCTGGATTGTATACTTTGTTTTTGTTGAGTCATGTGAGTTCTTTGTATATCTTTGAGATCAGCACCTTATCAGTTGTATGGAGTGCAAAGATTTTTTTCCCCAATCAGTGGGGTGTCTCTTTGTTTTGGTTGGTGTCTCTTTTGCTGTACAGAAGCTTTTCAGTTCTATGTAATCCCAGGTGTTTATCTTTTCCTTCACTTTCTTTGCTTTGGGTGATGAGTCTTTAAATATGTTACTCAGATGTATGTCTTATAGTATTTTACCTATATTTTCCTCTATATAGTCTATGGTTTCATGTCTTACGTCCAGATCTTTTATCCATTTTGAGTTGATTTTTGTGTATGGTGTGTGGTAGTGGTCTAGAGTCATTCTTTTGCTTATGTTGGTCCAGTTTTCCCAGCACCATTTATTGTCCAAACTGTCCTTGTTCCATTGCATATTCTTTGCTCCTTTGTCAAAGATTAGTTGTCCATATATGTGTGGCTCTATTTCTGGGCTTTCTGTTCAGTTGCATTGGTCTGTGTGTCTGTTTTTGTTTCAGTACTACACTGCTTTAATTATTATGGCTTTGCAGTATAGTTTGAAGTTTGGAAGTGTGATACTTCCATTCTCCTTTGTTTTCATCAATTGGGCTTTGGCCATTCATGGTTTTTTGTGGTTCCATATGAATTTCATCAGTATTTGTTCTATTTCTTTGAAGAATGTCATTGAGATTTTAATTGGAATAGCATTGAATCTATAAATTGCTTTTGGTAGAATGGCCATTTTGATAATGTTAATTCTTCCAATCCATGAGCAGGGGATGTCTTTCCATTTCTTTGTGTCTTCTTCTATTTCTTTTAACACTGTTTTATAATTTTCTTTGTAATAGGTCCTTCACCTCTTTTGTTAGGCTTTTCCCAAGTATTTGATTTTTTTTTTGTTTCAATTATAAAAGGATGGTTTTTTGATTTCTTCTTCAGATTGTTTGTATATAGGAAAGCTACTGATTTTTGTGGGTTGATTGGAAAAAGTTTTCTTTTTCTTGGGATTAGACAAGGATATAGGTGAGTCTTCCATTCCATCCTGCTCAGGAAGTAACTGGAGTTTTTGTGTTTCCTTCTTTTGGGCTCTTTCACTTGTCTTCTCACATTCCTCTGGGCTGCTACTGCTGTTTTCTGGAGATGCGGGGGCCATCCCAGTCAGACATTTCTTTTCCTTCTTCAAGTGTGACTTGTCTTGTTTCGCCAGCTACCTAGTAATCTCACTAGCCACTTCATCTGTATAAACCACTGCCTCCTTTATGACATCCAAATCTTGTCATGAACTCTCTCCAGCCTCACAGAAGGGCAGTTGCTCCTCAACTTGTTCATGAAGCTTCTACCCAAATATACTTGTGAGTACCCCTGAGAAGTAATCAATTCATGAGACAATACTGCATTTGTTTGCTAGGCATCAGGAGATGTGGTGTTGGTTCTTAGCAGCTGCTCAACAAATGAGGTGATGAGGACTGGAAAATGAGATCATATTTTGGAGTGCTGCCCCTTGCTTCAGAGCTCTGGAAAAGTGGTCCTTTTGCTGGGCCCTGGGAACTACTCATACACCAGGACTGGCCATCACATTGCAGATTTTAATGAAAGTCTTCACAAATTTCAAAGGAGCTTGTTCTCTGACCACTAAAGAACAGATCTAGAAATGTAATAGAATTGTTGCTATGAATGGGGATGATAGCGGAAGACCAGTGACTGTCGGGACAGGTGCCATTTCCCCCATCACAACTTTACATGCATCCGCCTGGACTATAACTCTCAACAGGCCATTTACCAGTCTTCCTAGACTGGGTGGCTGAGAAAGACCAAGGAACAAGGCAGATCAAGATACTGGAGAGAGAACAGATTGCAAGGACAGGCTTCTCTTGGGGTTTGGTCCTGGTGCTTTTCATGTTTTGGCAGTGACAGTGGCTGCCATCATCTTGACCCCATGGTGGATTATATGGTACATTTTTAATTTTGAGTCTCTCATTTTGTCCCAGCTCTCTGAACCTGCCTGTCCCCTTGGCTGTGGTTCCCTGCCAGGAGGTACATTAGACTTTGCAAGATTTTGGGCCTCGGTTGCCCCTATGAGGGTCAAGCCTTTTTGGGTGAGTGTGTGCACAGGAGAGGAAGGGAAACTTTTGGAGTCTGATTAGGAGCCTGTTATTTGAAATTCTTTCTCCTCTTTATTTCACTCTCATCAGTTGAAGACCTTTGGGTACTAAGAGTATACATTCTTTGCCTTTGTGCATGTTGATGGGTGGACCCCCTAAAGAATAAGCAAAATGGGACTTTCCCCTAAACGGTTTGGGGACCCCTTGCTTTCATGGTTAGAAATAACCAATACAGGGCCTCCCCGGTGGCGCAGCGGTTTAGCGCTGGGTTGCAAAGCTGCCCGTGACCTCTGCGGTGCCGGTTCGATCCCCGGCTGCTCCCCGGCCACAGGGTGAGGGTCCCACATGGTGCGCAGACCTCTCCTGCCGCCCGCTGCTCCCCTCAGCAGTGTACTTCGGTCCTTCTGCCTGCTCTGCTCCCCGCTCTGACTCTGGTGAATTCTCTCACCCTCCCGCGCTTCTGACTGTACCCAGTGCATGTATAAAACAAACAAACAAGTAAAATAAATAAAGCATGCCTCTATAAAAAAAAAATAACCAATACATATAAATTATTGGAAATTCATCAATGAAATTCTGTACAATCAGTGGTTAAAGAAAAATCACAGCACATACTGGAAAAGAATTTGAGTAGGGGTGAAATTCAAAGCATCAAACTTCTGGGAAGCAGGCAAACCACATTTAGAGGTTAATTTATAATATTGAATAAATGTACCTAAAAATAAGGTATGCTGAATATCATTTAAGGTACTATTTTAATAAGTTAGTGAAAAAGCAAATTAAGTAAAAGAATAAA